TCCAATTTCCCATCTTTCAGTTTGTACATCAAAACATTGACACTTTTTTAATCTTAGATTCATACAAAAACGTCCAGTTAAAGTTGAAACGGTTCAAATAAACAGTCTTAACTGCTTTAGCGTTCAACCCTTAATGGCTGCGTTGATCGTTTAAATATTTACGATTAGCCTAATATATTTATTTTTTGTCTTCTGTTAAATGGTTACCCACACTCCCATTACAGAGTGACCATTATACCACAGCCGGTAATAAAATCCTCATTGGCTTTTCCACAGCTGTAATTATGTCACTGAGACAATTGGCACCTTCACAGAGCTGATGGTAATCACTGTTATTGCGCTGCTGTAATGACTGCCTGCAGAGCAGCTGGAGCTTAGAACAGGTCAAGGTTTATACGGCTGATCTATCAAAACAACTCCTCCAGGACGAGCCTTTTTACAGCCTTCTCTTTTAAAAGGCGGCTGCACTAAGCTGACTGTTCTACCAAAAAGTCTCATTCGGAATATTTATCTGTTGTTGTATGGAAATGCATCCATACCAACGAGAGAATAAAGACGCTTCAGGCTGTAGTGTAAAAGTTTGTGTAACTTAGACTTTGCAGAGTTGGAGGTGTGGGATACAGAAGAGCAGAAAGACTAAAGAACTGTCAACATGTGCAGCTGGTTTGGATGTAAAAATACACCTCGATGCCTACCTGGTTCTTAGGATTCAAGCTAGATGTTGATTTTTTAGAAGTGCTGCTCAGCAAAGACACGCAAGAACCAAGAACTCCAGACGTTACTTAAAGGTCCTTCCTGGCAGGGGGGATCCTCAGTGCCTTCAATGCCTACAGAGAAGGCCCAAGAATTCAGCATGTGACATGTTGCATTTAAATTTTTTATTTTGATTTTATATCAATTTTTTCCCAATTTTTTCTTATTTTCCTGCAAAATAATTCATGAAAACACATTTATCCCATCCATCCATTATCTTTACCCGCTTTTTCCTTTTCGGGTCACGGGGGTCACTGGTGCAATGTCCAGTTATCACTGTGTGAGAGGTGGGGGACACCCTGAACAGGTCTCCAGTCCATCACAGGGACACATAGAGACAAACAAGACAACCATTCACTCTCTCACTCACACCTAGGGACAATTTAGAGTCACCAATCAGTCTAACATGCATGTTTTTGGTTTGTGGGAGGAAACCGGAGTACCCGGAGAAAACCCACACATGCATGGAGAGAACATGAAAACTCCACCCAGAAAGGCTCCCGGCTGGGATTTGAATCAGTGACCTTCTTGCTGAGAGGTGTCAGCTTTACCAACTGAGCCACCATACCCCACCCATTATCCAATCAGATTATTTTAAATTTGCATCTCCGTGCAGAAATATGTTGGAAGGAGCTTTCTCATTAGGACTTGAACAATTTCATGCAGGATCAATAAAGTTCTATCTTATCTTCTCTGGTGGCTTAGCTCAGTCAAAGACTTATCAAGATGAGATTGATTAGCACCTGACAGGAAAATTAACCAGTCACAACTGTGATACAGAGTGGGAGGGACCAAATCATCCAGGAAGTTAGATTTTGAAATTTTCTTGGTGTTCATGTATTTCTGTGAAAGCATGATACATTATATATATATATATATATTGATATATTGATATATTGATATATTGATATATTGATATTGATATATCGATATAGATATATAGATAGATTTATAGATATATAGATATGTATGTGATGCATTCAGTTGCAACAGGAAAATTCAAGAACGCACTCTGACATTGTCATTGCTCTAAAAATGAAGGTTAAATAGCTCATTTAGGTTCACACCAGTAATTTTAATTGTTACAGTTGTATTCTGGTTTCATTACATGACATATTTTTACAGACACAGTCATTTATATGGGTAATTGGTACATTTCAGTCTGAATGATTGAATTTGAACATGAGCTCATTTAGGAAGGCCCAGTGACTGTAGTCACGATTCACCACTGCTTCCTGGACGATCTTATCTTTAGCATATTTCACAGATTTACCCTTCAATGAATGCATTATTATTATTATTATTATCACTCTTTATCAAAGGTCTTTGTGTGATAATATATGTTTTATTAGCAAAACATGTCATGAACCACATGACTATTAGTCCTGTAATATTAGTGAAACTCTCAGATAGTAATCATAAAGTATACACCCATGTTGAGATGGCAGCCATAGCCAATCCATTAGTGCACACATAAATATCTATAACTAATATTATTGAGGTGAAACTTTGTGCGTTAGTAGTTGAGAGTCATCCCCAACACTTTATCTGAGGGCTAATGCATCTTGAAAGATTTCACATCAGATTGAGCATGTCATTAACAAGAGTTCATCAAAACTTTGTTCCTACTCATCACAAGAGGACCTTCATATAAAACTTTGGCATTTAAGGCGATAGGCATTCCTTTCAGGACTTCTAGGGTTTCTTATGCTTTCTGTTGAAACAGCTTTCAGATGCTGCTGAAGATTCTTACTCGTCCAGGGCATTTTAAATTTAATAAGTTCAATCCAAGACATCTGGACTTATTTTTGATTTTCATTCAAAGATCCTTTTCAACTCGAAAGTAAATAATACCAACATTGCTTGATGAACGCCTATCACCCACTTCCTAAATAAAATGTCTGTAACCTGTCATCGCTCAGGGTATGGAATGACTCTCAGCTACTGCCACAACAGGTTTTAGCTCAGTATGAGTAAAATGAACTGTTGTAGCCATTTTTGTTTGCTAAGACTGATAAGCTGTAGCTGCCATCTTGACTCGGATTGACTCCGCATGTTAATCAGTTGCAGATGTATATCTATTGATTGGTTCCGGAAAGTTTTATTAAAATCCACCTTGTGCTTCACGAGACATTTACTAATAAACAAACAAACAAACAAACAGAGACAGGCAATAGAATGATCACTTGCTGGTTAAGTTGTAGAGTTCCTTGCTTTCACATTGAACTGCTCTACTTTTGGCAATAAAAACATTTTGCATGCAGACCAGACCAACATAGACCCTAACGACCCTCAGGAGGGTGGGGAGGAAAAGTGATATGCATGTGAGTTTAGCTCACTACAATCTTGGAAAATCAAAAAGATATGGAGGTTTCTAAGAGTCCATTAGGATTTTTTTTATGATTTTATTTTATGCCTCACTTTTTGCTGTCGTTCATGTTTTAGTAACTTCTTCAAAAACGTTGTCAACGTTTTAGTTGGTTGCTGAAATGGTTGTACCGTTCATCTCTGATGTTTTTGTTCCAAAAATGGGTTCAGCTGCAGCATTTTTTATGAACCCTACAGCCGATTCAGTTACACGCTTTGCTCAAGGACACTTCGAGTGTTTAAAGTCAGCTTTTCAGACTGTTTCTAAAATTTGAACTTCCGTTCAGCCTCATCATCAGATGTCCTACTTCAGGTTCAGGTCCAACTGCTGTTGGAAGTACCTCACACATATGATCCCCGTCAACTGTTCTCCCTCATCAGTGCCTCTTCTTCCTCAGGCTGTCAGCTGCAGCTCATGAGGTTAATTCCTCGCCTAATTAAGCTGGGTGCCATTTAAATCTGCAGTCACGTTCAACTCTTCAGTCTGCGTTTAACCAAAGAGCTTACTCACAACTTGTGCTAGATGAGATTTTTTATTTTATATTTTTATTACTGTTATGGTACTTCAGATGATATCAGGAGAGGTAATGCTGTAATCCAAGAAGCTTTTTTTTTTTTTTACAAATTTAGACAGAAACATAAAAACACAACGTAAGAAACGACATTTCTGGAGCTAAAGTGTGATGTAATTTAAGTAGAGTTTTCACACGTGTTTGCCAGACTAATATTTTTTTAATCAGTGTTTCCTAAAAAAAAATCCTAAAAAACATCTGTGTACTCTATACTAAAGTTAAACTAACAAACGCGTCCAGACAGAGAATGAAACTCCTTTTATTTATCTATTTTTCTAGATGAATTTTGCAGCAAACATGTCTTAACTAACTAATTATATTTCTGAAGGGATGGACATTGCCACCTTTCATGCCAGACTTTCAAACTAATTGCTTTTTCATAAAACAGTTTTGCAAAATGGCCGCACAGACCAGTCAATCTTTATGATGCCTCTGGCTGTTCATAAATCACAGATGAAGCTGGCCACATTCTACGGAGATGCAAGCTTTCAGAAATGAAGCAAGCATTGCAAAATAAAAAGCGGCGTGGAGCAGAACTCAGCTGGTTTGACATGGAGCTCAACGCATTAAATGTGTGACCAACGTCTTCCTCTTGCCATTTACTAAACACAATGAAATAACTTAGTTTAGTGATTCCCTTGTGGTTAACCAATTTTTCATCTATCCATTATCTTTACTCTTCTTTTCTGGGGTGTCTAAGACTTAGACTAAGGCGTCTTGTGAATGAGCCTTAAGCTTATACATGATTTCATGCAATACTGTGCCATCTTACACCATCTGTTAGCACTCAGAGTATGTGTTAGGGCTGGCTCTCAGGTACTATCACATCACATTTTATACCTGTAGAATTAACTGAGTTATTGTCATTTTGTGTTTTGCAAGGTTGATTAGCTGTGGCAGCCATCTTGAATTGGGTTAACACCATGACTTCATCAGTTGTAGATGTACTGTACATCCAATGAATATGTTCTCAAAGTTTTATCCCCTTATGAAATATTTTGCTCACAGTCAGACAGAGAAATTAACAACATCATTTCAGCCCTTCGGCAGAGGGTGATGCTGGAGTCTTTAGTAAAACCTCAACCTCTATCAGATTGGAAAAATTGACTTTATTATCCACAGCAGTACAATAAGACAAGGACAGAAAAGTCAAGTTCATCAAAAAATCTCTGTAGATGTGAACATCTCAGCATGTACAGAAGGTGCTTGGCACTAACATTATTTGTGCTCAGAAAGAGGCTCATAATCCTGAAGATGCAGAGAAGATTAACCTGTCACCACGTCTGTTTTTCCCTTTCTCCTTCCCAGACTGTCGTGTCTAAATATGGGTCACAGTTTCGTGGTAATTCCCAGCATGATGCCCTGGAGTTCCTCTTGTGGTTGTTGGATCGTGTCCATGAAGACATCATGCTGGCGTCTCACAACAACAACAACAAGACAAAAGGTCCTGGAAAGGTAGGCACCAGTCTAGCAATGTGATACCAACAGATGTGACTTCATTAGAATTTTTTTTTTTTTGTTGTTTTGTATCTTTTGTTATTAAAATCAATAACAAATAGTGAGTAAAGGACGACATCAGGCTTTGGATGTTACATCTACTTTTTATAGTTTGTATCCTAACCATTAGATTCTCAGTCAACCATTGAGTAATAAATAATAATACTTATGATTAAATGTTGAATTCATTACATAATAGAAGATAAAATCCAGTGGAATAATAAAAATCGATCCCAGTATTTAGTCACTTGTCTCCACATGTCACAGTCAAAAAGCTACATGTTTTTACAGCACCTTATAGTTAAAGTGATAGTTCAAATCTTTAGAAGTGGGGTTTTGTGGAAGTATTATGAGCGATTAATATCTTACCTGTTGTAGATAACATTGGTTTGGAGAAATACACTTGAACTGATTGGACTGACAAGCTAACGGCTAAGACCAAAGAGGATTGTTGTCATCCTAAAGCATATCTGATTTTAAAATATATATTTATGTTTGCATAAACACCCTTTTTTATCTTTACATTGTTGTCTTTTTCACAACACTCATTTATCTGAGTAGAAAAGTGATATTCCTGCTGGAAGTGTTCAAGGCAAAAGAAGTGCTTCAGCTAGCTGCTTTCTCTTTATTGTCTTGCCAAAATCTAAGAATTCAATAGCCATGAAGTGCAAAATAGATAATGATGTAAAGGTACCCAGGTGTAAAGGTAGGTAAATATTTGTTACATTTTGTTTTTAGCATTTATGTTGACAGACGTTTTTTTTCCACCATTTGTGCTCTTTCTTGTTTTGCTTTTAGTGAGATGTGGGTCGAACAGTTCAGAGACGGCGTGTCTACAAATGTTTTTATAATCCAGCTGAAAACATGGCGTCATTTATCTCTACAGAAGTCAGATTTAGGTGTTGAACTGTGTTCTGCAGGCCTATTCTCATGCCATCAAAACCCTTGCGGACCCCACTATGACATGCAAACTGCATGTCAGAGGCCGAAGTGTAGAAGAAGAGGTGCTGAGAGCTTTTACTCTCAGTGGTCCTCCTTCTGGAGGTTTGTCTGCAGGCACAGGGCAGCCTGATACTTGAAGATTGAAACTTTGAACTGCTCAGTTGTGAGCCATTTAAGCAGAACATTCATGCATTATTAAGAACACAGTTTTACTCTAGAAACAGATATCCCTCTTAGCAAGAATGAATGTAGAAAAACTACACTGTTCTCATAAGACAGACTTGGGATGCCATGTAACTAAATTCCCCTCTCTTTCTTCTAATCTGTTTCAGGGTGAGAGTATTGGATGGGGTGAGGGGTTTGGGAAACACATTAGGTCTGGATTGCGTCTTTAATGCCTCTTTTCCATTAGTACCGGTACAGCACGGTTCGACTCTGCTCGGCATGATATGAGTTGTGTTTCCATTATATTTTCAGTAATGGTTCTAGTGGGCGGGTTCAACTCGGAGCCCACAGGAGCACGTGAGGCAGGGGCCCGGACCCAGACCTCGCGTGCTCCTGTGGGGTCGGCAGCTCGTATTATCCTTTGCAGTTACCAGCGGAGCTCAGAGCCCGCAGGAGCATGGAGGATCTTCAGTGGTGACTGGTGGAGCTCGGGGCCGGGGAGATGATGCCCTGCCCAGCCTGCAGGGGCTCCAAAGCTCCGGTGGAGAAGACCGGGGGGACCGGCAGAGCGCCATCTAGCTCGATCTGAATTTTGTCATCGGCCATCAAGCACAAAAAACGCCTGCACTTCAGCATTAGACCACGGTGTTGTCATTGTTTTAAATTTTTAAAAATAGGTCCAGCCACTCCTCAAGTTTGAGTTATTGCAAATGGTGGATCGAGTTGTTGTGAAAAGTTTCTCAATCAACCAGTGACTCCAAACCAGTGACCGACAGTGTCCTGATGTCATGTTTTAGGGCCAGTTCGGCCCAGTTGGAACCCCCAGAGAAATGGGTTCCACAAACCGTTGCTAGTGGAAAAGCCTTGGAACAGTGCTGAGTCAAGTCGAACCGTGCTGTACTAATGGAAAAGGGCCATTAGTGTACTTGGAGACAGAGGACATGATGGAAAGCTGGGTTGGGGTTCCAGATAAGGTTTGCCCTGTGGTACCCCAAGGAAAATGTCATGTTGATGTCCCCTGGGGCTAAGGGGTTTGAATAGTGAATGTTTGTAGATTTTGAGATGAGTGTTTTTCTAAACTGGATTTTGACGTGGCAACGGGACCTTCCTTATGCCTAGATGCAGCCACATCAAAATGGAAGTCTGTAACTTGCTTATTTCTCAAGTTATCATACTCGCAACATTCATGGACAGACAGACGAATGGACAGAGGGTATTTCCATTTCCTCCTATTCACTCCTCGACGTGGGACAAAAACTGTGACTCGGTTTTTGCTGTATGATGGTGTTAGCAGAGAGTTCACAACTTTGGTTTTGCTTTTCACAACTTTTTTGCTTTTATCTCAAAGAAAAATCATTTTTATTGAGTTGACCAACCTGCTCACTGAGTCTTCATAGACTTAGGGTGCATTCACGCCAGCGCTGTTTAGTCCGCTTTAATCAAACTCTAGCCCGTTTGCCTAGAAAGTCCAGTTCGTTTGGGGAGGAGGGAACGCACAATCGAACTCTGACACAGACCAAAACAACGAACTCTGGTCCACCTAAAAACCTAGGTCTCGGTCCGGTTGAAGAAAACTCTAACGCGGTTCGAGTACAGTGTGAATGCAAGCAGACCAGGCACTGCTCCGCAAGCAGGAAGTGGAGTACAGTGCAGGGCAAACAAACACGCATTTCTCTTACCTCATATGGAGCCGTCAGCTGCCTTGTGTGAAAAACAACATTCTCCATGGTCATCTGCCTCATCTTCCACTCATGCTGAGTCCATTGTTGAAAAATTACAAAAATAGAACTCCTAAAACCGCTAAAATTTGCCGCCACTCCGCTTTTGTTTTTATTTCCAGAAGAAGACGAATAAGTGTCTTCTTCAGAGGTTTTTGTGTTGTTTCTTTCAGTAGTTCTTGGTGCAACGCCACCACAGGCGAGTGGGGGAATAGGTTGGTTCGAACAGGTTGGCTCGACTCCACAGTGCAGTGTGAATGCAAACGCACCAGCTCAATTGTAAACAAAATGTTATGAATATTGGTCCCCAACCGAACCGAGTCTACTGGACTATCAGGTGTGAAAGAGAAGAGAAGCTGCTGAAAATGGAGGTTCGCTTGATCTTGACCAATACACATCCTCAGTACTGGGTTACATTAGTACATGTACTGACACAGTCTCCACTATCAGAAATGTTAAAAGCTACCCAAACAGAAAACCTTGGCTGAATGCAGAGGTGCGTACCCTGCTGGAAGCCAGGAACACTGCCTTCAGGTCTGGAAACTCAGAGGAGCTGAGTAGGACAAGAAAAGAGCTGGTTGCTGGTATTAAGAGGGCCAAGGCCGCATATGCAAAGAGGATCGAGGGTCAATTCATCTCACAAGACCCTCGGAGCATGTGGAGGGGCATTAAGTGCATAACAGATTATAAAGGAAGGAGCGAACAATGTCCCAAAGACCCATCTCTGCCTGATGCCCTCAACAAGTTCTATGCACGCTTTGAAGACCCGAACAGACCACCCAGCACCAGACTCACCTCGCCACCGGATGAAGAGCATCTCAGCGTGACCTCAGCAGAAGTAAGGAGTACCTTCAGGAGGATTAATCCTCACAAAGCAACTGGCCCAGACAACATCCCCGGAAAAGTGTTGAAGGAATGTGCTGATCAGCTCTGTGAGGTGCTGGCAGACATCTTTAACACCTCACTTACCCTGGAGACAGTTCCCACCTGCCTGAAGACTGCCACCATCATCCCAGTCCCAAAAAGCTCTACAGTGACTGGTCTGAATGACTATCGGCCAGTGGCCCTCACCCCGATAGTCGCTAAATGCTTCGAAAAACTGGTCATGACTCACATCAAAACAACCATCAACATCAACGAGGACCCTCATCAGTACGCATACCGTGAGAACCGATCAACAGAGGATGCAATCTCCTCTGTAGTCCACACTGCACTCAACCACCTGGAGCAGAAAAACTCTTACGTCCGTATGCTCTTTGTGGACTTCACATCCGCCTTCAACACCATGATCCCCCAAACCCTGATGGACAAACTATCCACACTAGGACTAAGCCCCTCCATCTGCAACTGGGTACTAGACTTTTTAACAAACAGACCACAGTTAGTGAGGATCCACAACCTCTCCTCCTCCACCATAACCCTCAGCACTGGCTCTCCTCAGGGATGTGTGTTGAGCCCCCTTCTGTTTACTCTGCTCACATATGATTGTGCAGCTACCCATCCAGGCTGTCACATTGTAAAGTTTGCAGATGATACAGCGGTGGTGGGATGCATCGCAAACAATGATGAGTCCAGCTACAGGCAAGAGGTGGAACACCTGGAGAGCTGGTGCAGAGAGAATAACCTTCACATCAATGTGAAGAAGACAAAGGAGATGATTGTGGACTTCAGAAGGAACAAAAACACCTACACCCCCCTGAACATAAGAGGATCTGCGGTGGAAGTGGTCTCCAGCTACAAGTACTTGGGTGTACACATGAATGACAACCTCAGCTGGAGCAACAACACCACCAGCCTGATCAAGAAAGCTCATCAGAGACTCTACTTCCTCAGACGGCTGAGGCGAGCTGGTCTGGGAAGCTCAGTCCTCACCTCCTTCTACAGGTGTGCAGTGGAGAGCATCCTGTGCTCGAGCATCAATGTGTGGCATGGAGGCTGCACAGCTGCAGAAAGAAAAGCTTTGCAGAGAGTGGTGAAGGCTGCACAGAAATCTGTGGAATCAGTCTCCCCACCATCACAGACATCTACACCTCCAGATGCAGGAAGAGGGCCACCTGCATCATGAAGGACCCCACCCACCCAGCACACACACTTTTTTGCCCCAATCCCCTCAGGAAGGAGGTTAAGGAGCAT